ATATATATATGACAAAGTCAAGAAAAATCCCAAATAATGCTGTCAACCACTTACCAAAGCCAGTTTTTATCAAAAGATGCATTATTTGGGTGCAAATAAAAAAATAAATTATTTTGTAATTATTAGTATACAAAATCATTTCTATTCATACCTGAATAATATTTTTTTAAAAAAATCAGAATACAGATGTAATTAATGGGGTTTCAGTTCTGTGTATCTGCTTATCATTCTATGACTTTTCTCTCTACCACATTACCTGACTCAAACTCCTCCAGCAGAAAGTGTGTGTTTTAAAAGTAAAATTTACTTAAAGCTTTAGAATTTTGAAAAAAAAATTCCATACTATTCAAAGGAGGCTTAAAGCAATTTCAGAAATGCAGTAACTGAAGAATGGGCAGAACAAACTCCATATAAGCGTGTTGATTGTAAGCTTACTGCCATAACATTATTATTTGTCAATCATATCTGAGCTTGAACTTAAAGGCCTGTTAAATGATTGAACTGGTTTTTGTTGTATGGAGCATTTAGGGGTGTGTAACTTCAGATAGAATTGCTTAGGCAGTATAATACTGATGTAATTTCAAATCAGAAGTTCATTTGTATATTAATTTTAGAATAAACATATGCATTTGTCATACTAAATACTATTTTGATTTGGTCTTCATTTTTTTTTATGCAGGTTTGTTGTTGAAGGTCATATTCCATATTTGAATGTTTTTCAGCATTTTCCGGAGAAGATGAAATTATGTGGACTTGATCTTAAGATCTTTTGTGTAGAGGTAATTTTTTTCTTAAAGGGAAAGATTAAAAAAACTGACCAAAATGTAGTTATCTTGTGGTATTTAAATTTCTTTGGTCACTGTACTAATAAATTGATTAAATCTATTCTTATGTTGTAGAGTTCAGTTTTGCATTATTGGAGCCTGTGCAGAAACCAGTGCACTCTGTGGCTCGGAGTGCTTTAATCTTTAACCAGTCTTATTAAGCTGAGTACCTAAGTTAAAACAAAATCGATAAGTACTTGTGGAGAAAAAGGTATTCAGGACTGCTTTTGGAACACTCAGATATAGGATTTGGCTTCACATCTGAGGGCAATATCCTTTTTGGTGCTTATTTAAAATATCTCTTGAATTTGTAATTCCATATTCTTTTCATAAAATACAATTTAGATGCGCTCTCTTGTTCTGTTTTTGCTGTACTGGTTGAAATATATCAAACCTAAAATCTACATAAGGGGTTATGGCCCTTCTAGAAGCTGAATAGTGATGGACAGTCTTCAGTAAAATGTAAATTGCCCTTATTTAAGGTTGCTATGTATTGTGGTAACGATTGCCCACTGGTGTTTGTGTTGCAGAAAAAAAGTTTATTATGGATTTTTGAAGTGTGAAAATAAAATCTTAGCTTTTAAGAGCAGAAAGCAGCAATTCTGCTAACAGGAGAAGCTAGGTTTTGGTCTGCTATACGGTGTTTGTGGCCCAAGCTGTCAGTGATGATGTTGCGAGTAATGTTACCGTTCTCCAATATGTAGCTTATATTCAGCAGGTCGTGAGTTGTTCAGAAGCTAATTTGTAGCACTTTTTTTTATACCACTGCTATCCTGTCTGGATAAATAATAATTATGACCTCAACTTCTAAAAATCAGGAGATAAATTTAGTATAAAACCTCTTGATTTCTTTTTCTGTCTTAGATCTTTCCTTAACAGAAAAGATACATCAGGTTGAAATGTGGGTGTAAACTTTTTTTTTTAAAACTCTCTTAATTCTCAGTCTCTCTGTCCTTCTCTGCCTCCATCCTTTGGAGGTGTTTTTGTCTGGCAAAAATGGTTACATAGAACTTGTATTCTGGCCTGACTAAATCAAATACCCCCCCTCAATCTTACAAATCACACAGATAAAAATTTTCATATGAATTGCAGCTGTAAAACTTATACCATGCCTCCAAGTGGGATATCTGGTTTGCAAAGAGGAGATGACAATTGCCCTTGGAGGATCTTTCTGCTTTCTTTTGGGATAGAGCTGTTTCATGCAGGATGATCTGATGCCAATCCTGAAGGTGATTTCATCAGTCCCTATTAGCTTGCTTTCTCCCAGAGCTGTCAGTTTGGATTGTTCTACTATCCTTCCATGAGCACACTTCCACTATGGATTGTAGCATGTCCTGATGCAGGAGCAGGACATCACAACTTGAGAGCCACAGGCCGGTCAATTTAATCTCGTTCCACCTTTTATATAAAAAAGGAAGTCTAGCCACTTCACCCTCTTAAACACTTACATAGCATATATGCACTTTCCTTTTTTCACAAACCGGGAAAAAAAAACCCAAATCTGATTTTTTTTTTTTGGTCTTAATATTGCTTATGATGAGTCTGTATCTAGTGTGGTCTGCTATTTAGCTTACAGGAAATTGCTGATCTAAAAGCTGAATTTGTGTAACTTTTGACTTCCATCTTGCTTGTCTGTGATAATGACACCTGCACCCCTCACTTCCAAAGTATAAGTAGATATATATACTAATCAAGTAATCTCTTGATCTCTTAATCAAATCTAATGATTTGTTTTCATTGAGATACATAGGTAAAGTTCTGTAAGCTTACCGTACAGTTTGTTTTCCAGCCACTCCAGTATTATTCCTCTTTCCAGGAATATCTGCTCCCTACTTTACCTTCAATGTTCCTCTAGTAATGCATTCTCAGGTTTATTTAGTTTTAACATTTTCTCTACATCATTGGGCTGATAATTGCAAAAACCTTACTAGCTGTTTCCTACATCCTATGTTTCAGAACTGATCTTGCCGCTCATTGCAGCACTGAGATTACCAATAGCTTACTGTATCTGGTTTTGACATCTGAGTTTTGAGAAATTCAAGAGATGAGGTTATTGTCCTGGAGCAGGAAGTAAAATTGTGTAATACTCCATCCTGAAAATACAACCTGCATTCTTTTCTCCTTGGTGTTCTGTGTATAATATTCTATAGACAATTATCTTCAAAACCTTTATGGGATTATGACTGTTAATAACCAGGCAGGTAAGATGCTCTAATGCCATTATTTGTTGTGCTTGAAGTCTGGCTAACGTAAACTGCAAACATGGTAGAAAATCTTGATACCTGACAGCACTATTCAGTAGTCCTTTTTATTTTGAACAGATTTTTAGTGCATTTAATTGTGTCCTGTGGTAATTCCCTGCAGCCCAAATTTGAATCAAGAAGTAGTTATGTCGTAGTAGCTTGAAGGATTTGAAGTCATACTACTGATACCAAGTATCATTTTATCAGTTAAATACAGATGAAGCCTAACTTGATAAGGCTCATCTGATATAAAAATATTCTCAGTGGCTTAAAGTTTGTTTTTTTTTCAATAACAATTTCCCAGATACCCCGAATATACTGAATTTGTACAAGGTTGAAGTTGTTATAGCTTTAAAAAAAAAAAAGCACAACAATTATTGGAAGGTGAGTCACATCTACTTTCTATCTTTCTATATAGTGACGTGTGTATGTGTACATGAACAAGGTTTTTTTTATGCCTCGTCATTTAGTAGTAGTATTTCATATGCGAGGAATGTGACTAGTCTCAGGCTTTCCAGCTGATGAACTTCTGTGCTGTGTAATACAGGAATGGAGTCCATATCACTGACAATTTTTCCTTGTCCTGCGTACAACTTAGCAATTACAGGTGATTACAGCATCTGTCATACAAGGAGAGGCTGAGAGAGCTGGGATTTTTATCCGTGGGAAGAGAAGGCTGGGGGGGATTTCAGTAATGTGTATAAACACCTGACAGGAAGGAATGGGGATGGAGTCAGACTCTCTTCTTGGTGGTGCACAGTGGAAGGATAGGAGTCAACAGGCACAAACTGAAATAGAGGAAATTCCATTTAAACATAAAACTTTTTTACTGTGAGCATGATTGAACGCTGGAGCAGGCTGCCCTGAACCACTGTGGAGTCCACATCTTTGGAGATGCACAAAACCTGACTGGACACAATCCTGAGCAACTTGCTGTAGTTGACCCTGCTTTGAGCAGAGGCGTTGGACTCAACGGTCTCCAGAGCTCCCTTCCAACCTCAAGTATGCTATGATTCAAATGGTATAGTGTGTCTTGTATTCTATTTCACATTTTCAGTGTAGATGGCAGATAAATCCTTCATGTTTTAGCAATGGAACAGCTAATAAGAAGGGCATAATTTTTCATTCTGCCCAAACTGAACTTTAAAATACCTGCCACAAAGATTATCGTATCTGGACACCTCTGTCTAGAAGTCTGGGAGCTCTGGGCATAACTGCCTCATAAATAAAGAGAAAAGGAGCCTCCACCTCTTTGTATCATCTTTATTATGATGCAAACTGTTAGACAAGTGTCAGGTCCTAGCTGGAGATAAGTACTACCTCACAAGTATTTTATGAAGGATAAAAGTACTTTATCTTTGTGTAAAATGAGTTGTTTATCTTCCATGTGTTTATCTTTCCATTGCTCCAAGTCTCTTTTCTAAGCCTTCACTTGATCAGTCATCCTATTTATCCCTTCCTCTATTAAAATCATGTTTATGTTAGAAGTTAGCCTTTGGTAAATGGGTTTTACCTAAATGCACGATCAGAGGGTTCACAGGGCAAAGAGCAACAGTAGCAGGATGGTCCTGCTTAGTTCTTAGTTCAAAAGTTCTAAGTTCCAATACAAGAGAAGAAAAGCAAGTTTTTATCTTACTCTGCAAAATTTCATTTTTCTAAAAAAGTATTCTTATTCCATTTGATTAAACCCTTTTTTTATGCATCAGGAAAGAATAAGACATTTAAGTTTTGGTTTTTGTTCTATGTAGGAGATCAAGTTTTTTTCTTGCTATTTGCAATTTGTTTGACTACAGAAAATCCCTGCTGATCTTGAGGCTTGTGCCAGTAGCCAACATGTCTTTGATGAGCACAGTCATCTTTTCTCTTTTAGGTGGAAGTCATCTTTGTTTCCTTTTTAATGCAGAGGATATCTATTTCTTTACAAGCCTGCTAATGTAAGAGTTAAAACAAATTTGTAAATTAGTAGTAGTATGTATAAAGTTCCGTGGGTAATTTGCTTTCAGCTTGTTTTATTTTTATTGATAGTTTCTGTCCTTCAGTGGAGCTACACACTAATTCCCTCTTCCATTTCTGCTTGAAGTAGGGATACATCCTTAAGATACACATCCTCTATTTTGCTTTTAGGGATTTATGTTTATCCTCATACAAAATTGATTAAAGCATCCCTTTTCTCTTGAGCTAGCAACAACTTGTCCTTGCCATAGATCTCTTTTTCCTTGCATTTTTGACTCAGGACTGTATACCTGATTATCTTTTATGTAATTTTTTTTTTTGTGCTTTAAAGTTGGTTCTGCTTTGCTGTCTGAAGTTTACCTTTAACTTTCATTACTTTTTATAAAACTCATTACTTTTTGGCGTATTTTACCATTAATGTATTGTAGATTGATTTTTTTTTTTTTTTTTTATGTCCAACAATAATTTTTGGGTTTGATTCTCACGTTCTTAACACACACACACGCAAACTTAAATGTACGTGCATATATATAGGTAAGCAGGTCACTCCCATGGCTGTTGGGCAACGTGATTTAGTAAAGTATTGAAGATAACAAACACGTCACTTTGGAGTATGTGCTGTGTGGAACAGGGTAGGTGTAGTCTCATAAATATCATTCAGATTCTGTTGTTCTGAAGAGCTTCGGGAATGGTCATCTTTTTAGATGCACAGGTATCTGGACTTGGCAAGGAGCCCGATGTGTGACCTCAGTGTGACCT